TTCTTTCTCCATCTCCCTCTCACCTTCGGAAGAGGATTCCAAATTGTGAGTCTCACGATCTGAATGTTCGTACGTTTTTTGTTTTTCCTTTGAAGTTGTTCTCCGGGAAGACTCAGGTTTGTGGCCTTTTTCAGTAAGAAGCTGAGCCAACATATCCTTTAATTGGAGAAGTGTCTCCTGTTGCGCCTGGAGCATGACTTGATGTTCGTCCACTCTTTTGGCGATGTCCTTATGGTTCCCTGTTGTGTAAGCGAAGACCTCGCGTGCTCCAACAGAGCTTGAAGACTGAGATTCGGCTATTGCCGAATGTTCATCACTTGTTGTAATGCCTTTGGCTAACTTTTGATAGTTAATCGGGCGAATAGCTCCTGTCCGCGTCCGAGTATTCTGATATACTCCTTCGAACTGGTCACAAATTTCCCTAACAGTTGGGGAATGACTTCTTTGCGACTCATCGGAATCAGTATGCGAGGCTTTCCCTCGGCCGATCATGTTGATAGTGACCTGAGGGTATTCCGCTTCAGCTATCTTCTTTCTGTAGCGGCGTTGTCATTTAGCAGGCCTAACAACGTTCGTCAACCTGTCAAATACGGACTGCCGAGGTGTAGATGCACAACAATGGCATTCTGACAGGACTGCCGAGATAAGCCTCTCACATTGACATGAGTGAGCTGCTTGTACTGTTGGTTTTCCTCTCGACAATAATCCCCGCAAGTCAGGAACTTGGGAGGAAACTTTCCCCGGGCTTGGAGGTGGAGATGGAACCCCCTGCCCTTGGGTGGGTGAGATTGGTTCTTGTCGAACATGAATTTTGAAGCCATGCTGACTTTTTTGAACTTGACGGACCTCTTGACGATCGCGTTCTTGAGAAATAACGCGAGGGTCGCGTTGAGATTTGTAAATACTAGGCCGAGGCCTGTGTTTAAATGATGAAACAGACCCCTGAGGGTCCTGTTTTGATTGAACACGCCCCTGAGGGTCGCGTTTAGTTGGTGAAACAGACTCCTGAGAGTCATGTTTTGTTTGAACGCGCACCTAAGGGTCACGTTTAATTTGTGAAACAGACTCTTGAGAGTCATGTTTCATTTGAACGCGCACCTGAGGGTCGCGTTTAATTTGTGAAACAGACTCTTGAGAGTCATGTTCTATTGGAACGCGCACCTGATGGTCGCGTTTGGTTTTGGCAGCTCCCTTCTGAGGGCTGCGTCTTGAATGAACAACGCGCCACTCAGGGTCGCGTTTCATCTGAATCAGCCGAGGCTCGTAGTTGGGCTCGTTGCCTCGAAGTGAGCGTTCTTCTTTGGGAACGCTATGCTCGGTTGGATTTTCAGGAACGCGGTCTTCGCGTTGGGCCAATTTTCGGCTTTCACGTAGATGTGCTCGTCGTATGGATCTTCTCCGTCGGCGAGCGGCGTTCTTCTTGGCTTGTTTCAAAGCCTTAGCAGCAGCGTCGTTGACGTTTATGGAACTCGTTTCCTCCAGAGGCCGTTTGTGGCCCGAAGCATGTCTTGCTGATGCGGATGTGGGATTTTCCGCCAGCAGAGCAAGTTTGAGTTCCTGGCCGAAGGAGAGGGCTTTCTTCGGCACTTCGACAACAGAGTTGACCTTCTTAGAGGTCTTACGGACATCGTGCTTAGCCTTGGGGCTAAGCGATCCAGAGGATAATGCTTCCTCGTACTTAGCTTGATCAAACTCTACGACGAGAGTTTCTACTGTCGTTCCCATGAGGTGGACGTCGGACTGCGCCACCACTTCATCGTCGGAAAAGCTAGTCCCCAGCGGAGTCGCCATCTTTTGTATGTAGGGAAGAATAAAGAAAATTTGACTTGTATTTCTTTGATTCCGATTACAATTCGATTACAAAAGAGAGGAAAACGAATTTGGTTTTCCCCTTTGTTTAAAACTGGGTTCTTCTCGGTAGCGATGGAATGCCTCCTTCGATTGCTTGCGTCGAATTTGCTCTCCGTTGACGATCCGACCGTCTTCTATCTCGTGGGAACGATGAACTTCTGTGGAAAATTTGATAAATAACTCTGAATGAGTTTAAGAACTTTGAACGAGTTTGAACTCTGTGAATAGAGTTGTTAGAACAGAAAATTCGGTTAATGATCAAGCTGTTATTCTGTTGTCGAAGAATCCTCTCAGGTTTGATCTTCTGAGTTTGATTCAAAAATCCAATCTCCCAGGATTTCGTGCTGCTGCTCTATCTCTTTTAGAACTAAAAAATCTCCAACCTGTGCGGTTTTGATCTTCAGAATCCCCCCTTGCTTCGTTGGGTTTGTTGAGCTTTTATAGGGGGATAAGAGGTTGTAACTGACCCCTATATCCGCTCCTACGTGGGCGAAAATCCCTCAGAACGTGGGATAAACGGTTCTGGAACCGTTCGACTCATGTTTGAACGAGTCAAACGCCCATTCTGGCGTTCAGAACCCAACTTCGTGTCTTAGGATTGAGACGCGAAGTTGGGTGTTAGCTGAACACCATTGAACGCGAGGGTCGCTCGCGTTTTGGCTTGTTGTCTGCTCAGAAACGCGGGGGTCGGTGTTGGTTGGACCCCTACGAACGCGAGGGTCACTCACGTTCAGCTAGTGTCTTGGAGACGCGGGGGTCGGCGTTGGTTGAACCCCTACGAACGCGAGGGTCACTCACATTTGGCCTGTGGCTTGGAAACACGGGGGTCGCCTGCACTTTCAGAGTTGTAACGCGGGGATGACATCCGCGTTTTTGAAGGAGCTATTTGACTTGTAACTTCTTCTGTGGAGCGTTGCAAGGACCGTTGTTCAGTAATCCTAGCTTTAGCTATTGTGGGGTGTGAACGTCGTCAGATTGTAACTTTCACTGTAGATTGTGAAGACTGCTGAGTAGAGTTTTCATCAGTTGTCGGAAGTGTCGTTGAATTGTAACTCTTCTCGATCTATGTGAAAAGTCCTCTATTTGCCGCTTTCGATTGTCGACCCGAAAGCTATTTGATTGTAGCTTTCGTTGTTGAAGCTAGACGGGAATCAACATCCATAGTGTTTTGAAGACGAATATCTGCCCACAGCTCTCTACCAAGCAACTATTTGATTGTATGTTTCGATTGTCGGCGCGAAAGCTATTTGATTGTAGCTTTCGTTGTGGGAGCTAGACGGGAATCAACATCCATAGTGTTTTGAAGACGGATATTTGCCCACAGCTCTCTACCAAGCAACTATTTGATTGTATGTTTCGATTGTCGGCGCGAAAGCTATTTTGATTGTATGTTTCGATTGTCGGCGCGAAAGCTATTTGATTGTAGCTTTCGTTGTGGGAGCTAGACGTGAATCAATATCCATAGTGTTTTGAAGACGGATATTTGCCCACAGCTCTCTACCAAGCAACTCACCAACTAAGTCCAACCTTTTATTTCTAAAATCATTACACTGCTCATCAGCATCTCTAATAGTTGCTAATAATATTAGTCATGTTGTTGTCGCAGCCATCAAGATCAATCATCTCAGAAATGGGGTCGTGTACGTGGTGATTGTAGAATTGCGGATGCAGTGATTAGAAAGTCGTCTGATTGTGACTTCCATTGTCGGAGTTTGATAGGGATCAGCTATCCATTGTGATTTTTAGACAGCCTACAGTCCTTTCACATTAGCTTCCTCCTGAGCAAGCTGCGGTTCTTTTAGAGCCAATTCCGCTTGTAATTGAGTGATTGCTTCTCGAGTGGTGCGCACAGCAGTAGCGGAAATCGATCAACTTGACTTGTACTTGATCACGCTACTCCTGCAAAGCTGTAACATGTGCCTCTCTCTCAGACAAGCTCTTATAAACAGGTTCTTGTTGATGTGCCATTGCGACTTGAATGCTAGCGAAAGCATGTTCTGTCTCTGCCTCCAAGTCAGCATGCTCAAGGTCCTTCAAAGCTTTTAGATCCGCCTCCAAGCGAGAAATACCCTCTGTACAACGCTTGATGCATTGGGTGTCGCCCAAACACATGATGTTGTTCAGGTAGTTCATTAAGAAAGGCTTGAAAGTCTCGAAAGTACCTCGCCCTACGCTAATGAGGATAACGGTCTGCTTCATCACACCTTCCAGCTGTTCAATAAATCCCTTTAACAAATTCTAAACATCCATCGAGCTCAGAGAAGCAGCTGAAGAGGGCACGAATGCACTAGGAGTCACGGGGCATGGCGACCTTACTTGAGTAGATCCAAGGATGGATTTCTCTTGTGCTGCCCCTATAATTAGAGGAATGGAGGTCGAAGCTCGACCTAGGGCCATCATAGCAAGGGGTTCTATCATTGGAATGAAAACCAGAACTCCAGAAACTACAATGTACTAGTACACGTTTGCGGTCGACCGCTCCAAAGCTCGCGGTCGACCAGCAAGCACCCAAATGTCTGTCTGCTTCAAATTTCCTGAACTTCACCAATATTTTCATCATTTCTACATGCACATGTTCGGTATCTAGTACTTGATATTATTTCTTCGAGGAAAATTTAGTGGTTTATGTCCAAAGATTTTTTATAGATTTCAACTTGATATTTTTTTCCTTCTGGCATCAAATTTTCCCAAAATTCATCACCATTCCCTCTTGTTAGTTCTCTCCTAGACTAGCATTGATTACTTAAGTGCCTGATGGTCCTTTCTTCTTTAACTTGACCATTGGCTTGAAGTGAAGTTGCATACTAGTAAATTTTAAAAGTGAAAAAAAAACTTTCTAGAGAAGTAAAAAAAGGGAAAAATTGAGGTTTGTGTAGGACTTGACACTCTCTTTCTTTTATTTTTTTTAAAGCAGACAATTACTATTAAAGTTATAAGAGAAAATAAAAATAAAAAGCAATTTTTCTCAACTTTCTCTACACTTTTTTTTACAAAGTGAAAGAGTTAAAATATTTACATGATACATCCTTTATTTTTCACTCAATTTTCATTCGCTTTTAAAGGGCCAAACAAGAAAATTAAGTAAAAAATGGAGCCATTTTCTAACTTTATTCGAATTCACTTTGCTTTGGATAATAATGAGGCACGAGTGCATCCCATCGTGGCGAAACCTAGCCGTAGAACTAAACCCATCCAAGTATCTCACCTGGCCCAGGTTATCTTACACACTTAGCTTCTAACCCGAATCCGATCTCTCTCTCCCCTTCCCTTTCCCCAAACGAGCAGACCCCTAAACCCCTCATCCAATAGAATTCAACCACCCCTTTTCTTCGGCAACTCTTTCATGCCTCTGCCGGAGAAACCCTAACCCTAATTTTTCTGCATGGGGAAGAAGAGAAAGCAAGTGGCGACCTCAGAAGATCCGAAGAAAGAAGAAGAATGGGAACCAGAGAGGCCCAAAAGGACTCTTTTAGGGTTTAAGGATGGAGCCATTGTCGAGAAGAAGGGCGATCATCCAGTGTTCAGGAACAAGGACAAGGTCCTGGTCACGTGCTCGAGAAGAATCATCTAATAGGTAAGTAATTTTTTTTTGATTTTTTTAGAAATTTGTTTTGATGTGGATTTGTTTGTATTTATCTGGGTTTTGTTTAAATTTGAAAGGTATCGGCATTTGGTGTTAAATGTTGTGTCTCTGTTGCCGCATTGTAAGAAAGATAGCAAAGTGGAGTCAAAGGAGAGCAAAGGGGCTACTCTTAATGAGCTTGTTGAGCTAAGGAATTGTTCATATTGTAAGTTTTTCGAGGTAAAAACTCTATCTTTATATGAATTGTTGGTTTTTCTCATGAGAAATTAATGATATTAGGTAAATAAGGTATTTTGTGGATTTAATTTGAGTTTTTAACTAATTCAAATGCTTTTGATAATTTGTGGGTGTGCAAATCATGGAAGTGGTACGGTTAAGACTAGTATTTATTATAGTTCGTATACAATTTCATAGTTGCTCACTTTTGGCTAATAATGCTGTTATGGGCATAGAGTGGATTTTATGCTCATATCATGGGAAGCTGGTTCTATTTCACATATATTTGATTGTGTCTCTTTGTTGAGGGTAGTTAGATCTTTGATAATTTTGTTAGCCACTATTTGTTATTTTTTTGCTAATTTAGTTCTACTTTTAACATTTATATGAGTGTAGAAAGGGGAAAGATCTTTATCTTTGGATGGCCAAGTCACCTGGTGGGTCGTCCGTGAAGTTTCTGGTTCATGCTGGAAAGTTCCGGTTTTAGTGTATTTTGGTTACTTTTTCCTGAGATGGAATTAATACAATAGTCTGGTTAATATTTGAAACAATGAACTATGTTTTTGGATATTTCATGCTTTGATAATGGTTATAACTTTTTTGTTCATTCTCAGTGCACACAATGGAAGAATTGAAACTTACTGGAAATCACTTAAAGGATCACGGCCAATTTTAACCTTCTCTTCAAATTTTAATAATGAACCTCGGTGGATGCTTTTGAAAGAAATAATAACTCAGGTACATTTTGTTTCTTTCTTTTTCAGTAAATATAGTTACTGTTATTTTTTCAATCTATGTGCTTCTCACAAACTTACCAACCAATAGTCATGGCTGAGGTTCACAAAGATAACATAGTCAATTGTTAGCCGCTTGTATTTTTTTTGCTACCATCTCACCAAGAAAATAAGTTAAGACTATCATGAACCTACAAAGATTCCAAATCAGAAGCTCTAGTGAGTATGAAAGAGAATCTGTAAACAACTGTTTAAATCTTGCTTATAGGACCTGATGAAATACCAGGAGTGGGACTACTGGGGTAGTATAGCATAAAACTAAGTAATATAGCCAAATAATATTTGTGATTGAACAGTTGCCCAATACAGGATAAAGGAGTGGATGTTGTGATATAATGTAAGGCCATATGCCGTTACAATGGAGTTAAGGAACAGAGCTAAGCTTGTGCTATAGCATCAAGAAATAGAGGGGGGGTTGACCAGAAAGAAGTTATACCATAGTGACTCTTGAAGCGTAGGCTTTTGGAAAAGCTAGGTGTAGAAGCAGACTTAACCGTTAACTGAATGTTAGTATTGAAATACTTACCAGTGTTGAGTCTTTTAGAATTGGTGGTGATTCTAATTCATATAAGTTAATTCTCCAGTTAATGAAAACGTCTTTTCTGTTCCCTTTTGAATATACCATGAACTTGCCTTGCTCAACTGAGAGCAAAATGCGATATTGGCAAAAGGGAAAATCAATGGTGAAAATAGCAATAATGCATAGCGTAACGCTCACCTCCAGTTAACGTAAGATGCAAAATAGCATAACTCTTAACGGAGTTAAATAATTTTTTTTCTTTAAATATTTTATAAATACATAATATTTAAAATCAAATAATATGAATAATCATCACAATTTTCAAACATATCATCATCAAAATACTATCACAAATCAATATACCACCACAATTTCACAACAAAAACAACTATGTGCGCCTTAACAATCAATACCAAAAGCATAAAATACTTCAAGTTCGATACCAAATTGAAAATATCAGGACCATATCGGGCATATCGGTTGATTTTTTAGCTTTAAAAAATCTGCTGATATGATTCTTTTTTAGATCTGTTTTTTGTTATCGGGTTTTAGTGATAAAAACCCGAACTCGTTTGACATGTTCTCATGTTTAAGGGTTTCTTATGAACCCGATAGAAAGTAAAGAGAAAAAGTAGGACTACAACAAACTTGAGAACCGATCACTCTTTTTGTAAACGACGATGTCCTTCCCTCACTTCCATCTCGGCCCCTGTTGTCCATCTCCCGTTGCACTCCGAAATCCGAACCCCAATCGAACCCGATGGCGACAGAGTATACAAGCACCAGGATAAATGGAAGATGGTGATCGATGACTCATCCGAAGAACCCCGAGCAGACGAAGAAGAAGAAGAGCTCCGACACTACCTCCCTATGACGTCGAAATCCACTCATCGCAGGCGTCGCCTTTAGAATTTATAAAGTATGCTTATATTGAATTTAGAAATGCATAGATTATATTTAAGACATGATATTATACATATGTGCATTACCCGATATGATAATCCGATATTTAGTCCATGTCCCCCGATATATCCCTGATTTTTACTATTTCAGCCTACTGACATGAACCCGACATCCGACATTTAAAACATTGTTATAAGCTTCTAAGAATAGATATGTTAATTTAAAATTTTTAAATTAACATTTTCTTTGCTCAAAAGTACTGCAGTTGCGTTCACATCCAGATGCACTAGTAGTGAGAGAAAAGATACAAACTGCAAATCGTTGTAATGAAGGAGTCTCATCACCAAGTCTCTCCCACCAATAAGCTATAAATTTAGACATCAAAATCAGTATATTATGACATTATTATTGTTAAATTAAATTTCAAAGTCAAAATGAAAATTGCATAAATTAATATCTGCACTACAAAAAGCAAGGGTCCTCTAAGACATCTCTGATCCAAACTCTCCTAACCTCTTCCTATAAACATCTAGCTCATAGTCGACTTGTGCTCGCTCAACAATATTAGGGATCAGGCGAGCCATGCACTCGATAAGTCCCTTCCTCACCTCTACGTGCTTGTTAAACTTATCACCATAGAAGTATTTGGGATTAAGATAATAAGCAGCAACATGAATAGGGCAATGCCACATCCCTTACCACCTCTTATCAATTAGTTTCCAATAAGGCGTGTATTTCCTTTCAATTCCGCTACATGCATCTGCAATTTTCTCTTTTGCATTATCCATCATCTCATAAAGTAATAGCATAGAGGGCCTAACGTCATTATGGACTTCCCAGAGGGCATGCACAAGTGGAAGTGTCGTGACGAAGCAAAACATCACTCATCCCTAAAATGATGTGGAGTAAAGAACCGTGTTCCTCGTCTTCATTCCACGTGTCTTCTTTGCCTAAGTGCTTCTGAGAAACTCTTCAGAGGAGAACATGTTCCTCAAAGGCTATTTCAAAGAATTCATCTATAATGGTAGAAAGGATGTTGCGAAACGAGTAACAGCAGGTCTCAACAACTCCTTCCCACCTATGTACTTCCTCATCAGACTCAATAGTCAATAGTGATTGTAGATAAACTGAATAACTTCTTTCTCCCCTTCAAGAGTCTCTCAGTGTATCTTATCTTTTTTACGTCCTCCAACATGAGGTCAATGCAATGAGCTACACAAGGTATCTGGAGACTTTCTTATCTCCATAAGCTTTGTCCCGACAAACACATAAGAGGCATGATTATCAAGGATAACTTGTAAGACATGTTGCTCGCCAATCTTCACAATTTTATCAAATACACTAAAAAAGATACTCCCCGTTCTTGATATGAGCTGAGGCATCAATGAAGTTGTAGAAAAAAGTCCTCTCTAGTGAACTAACAAGAACATTGATTAAACCTCTACTCTTCTTGTCTGACCACCCATCAGATGTAATGGTGCATCCATAGTTTTCCCATGCTGCCTTGTGCTTTGCCTTAATGGAATCAATTCCCACCACCTCTTTTTTAGCACCTCTGTCCTTATCTCATACAAAGAGGGTTGCTTAAGCCCCGGACCAAACTTCCCGGTCACATCTGATATATCTCTTTAATATGGACTAAAGAGATTGTAAGAGAGACCATTAGAAAAAATGCATCTCCCGATCTTTTGTACCACTTCTCTTTCTATTTTGTATCTGTTCTCCATTGTGGTTTGACATCCTTGCACATTGATGAAGGTGTCTAAAAGTCCAAATGACCTAGCCAGATGGGCATTGCTTCTATGTCCACTCTCCCAACTCTTGACTTGCAACTTCTTCCACTTGTGAATATGAATCTTCCATTCTCCCAATGGAGTGAACCGAGGTGGATTTTGTTGTCTTTCCTATTTTCATTTCCTTCAAAGCCTCTGCACATTGTCTTTCAACCCACTCTGGAATCTTATCACATTTTCTTACTCCTTTACGAGTTCCTGCCAAGTGATGCTTCAATCTTGTTACTCTCGTTGTGATATGATGGTTGTAAAATTTACAATAAAGAGTGAGCAGGTTCTCTTCCTTTCCAAACTCCATGCTGTCTAACTGGATCAACACTTTTAGACATGACTAAATTCAGCAGATATATAAAGAAATAGTCTAACAATCAATGTTACAGAAGGCACTCGGCGAATTAGGCATTTTAACCAGCGCCTAGCGTATAGACATCTAGGCGTACGCCTAGGCGACGCTTAGACGTTTTGCTATTTTTAAAATTATTTAATTAAAATAATTAATAAAAATATGTATTAAATTTATATAAATTTGTAAAAAAAATAGCAATATTAGATCCACAATAAAGCATGCATAGTTAAATACTAAATAACCAAAATAATAACTAACAATATTATAGAAAGTGCTATGAGGCCTAAACATTAGAGTCGATGCCTAGAGCCTAGGAGGTTTTATTTATTTCTTATTTTTTAATTATAATAATTGATAGTAAATATTAATGTTAAAGAAGGCTAATGTGCCGGATTGATGTCTAAGCGGATTTGTTTCTTCATTTAAGTGACGGTGGAGGAGGTTTTGATGAAGGTCGAAGAAGATAGTAGAGGTGTTCATATTTGAAGATTACATGTGTTTGGAGGAGGTTGGAGGATGTGAAGGCTGCAATAGAAATCATGATCAAAGCCTAAAGGGTGTCCGTGTAAGTAGACAATACTCTCCTAAACACTTTTAATATCTAGGTAGGCACCCTAGGAGATGTCTAGATGCTAGTTAGGTGGCTTAGGTACCGCCTAGGCCTAGGTGTACGCAGTGTTATTGAGGCGCGCGCCTGGGGCGTGACCAGGGCGAAGGGTCGGTCGGCGGCAAAATCGCCCCGCTCTGGGCGGAGCGATGCACGATCACCGGAGCGCGCGCCTGGGCGCGGCTCGTGATCGCCTGATACGCCTCGTCGGGCGCATCGGCCTTGATGCACGTCGTCGATGGGCGATCGAGTGATGGGTTAAATTTAAAACGGGTTTCGGGTAAGAAGACTCGCTTATTGCTTTTCTTACCTCTTTCCTTTACGGTTTTGCAGCTTCGTTCTCATCCAAAAACCGCTGGCTGTCCATCTCTCCTTCCTCGACCCAGAGCCGCCTGACCGTCAGTCCCGCCGATACCAACTTGACGCCGTCGCCGATCCCGCCTGATGCCGTCGCCGATCCCGCCTGACGCCGTCTCCAACTCCGCCGCAGCCGTCGAAGCAGGTAAGTTTTATTTTTTCAGTTCGTTTTTTTTCTTCGATCTTTTTTTTCTTGAGACGTTCTCTTCCCTTGCTCTCTTTTCTTGTTTTCTTCCGTCGGTTTTGTATTTTTTTTTTTGGTTCCTTTTCTTGTTTTCTTCCGACACGGTTTTTTTGGGCTTGTTTTTTTATTTTGTTCGCCGCTAACATAATACTGCAGTCGTTTTTTTTTGTTTTTTTTTGTTTTTGTATTTATTTCTGTTTTTTCTTTACTTTATCTGTTTTTTTGGTTTTTTCCCATTAATTGGTTAGCTTTGGGTTAGATTTAATTTTTTCTTTTTCTGCTGTTTAATTAACTGATGCAGTGCTGTTGTTCAATTAACTGTTGATGTTCAATTGATTGTTGTTCAATTAACTGCTACATTTACATATGAAGATCTCATTAGAAAATAGGAATACAAATTATACAATATGAATATACAAATTACATATTCAATGAATGAATTATGCATATTTATTTTGGTAGATGTGTTGGGAAATTTGATTGATCTTTCATCCTTGCTCGTTGCTACTTAACTCTCAAGTATAATCTGTAAAAAAGAAAAACAAAGTCAATTAGCAAGTTAGCAACAACAAGTCAACAACTTAGAAATTAGTATAATTAGAAAAAAGAGCTTAAAATAGGTAATTAGCATGCTAACTAATAAATTATGAACGTGTAAATATTTAACTGTTAATCACTTAATTGATACTTAAAAAACATATTTCATTTTTAATTAAAACATATATTTCTTGTATCTTATTTGTTACTTTAAAATTTTAGTTAGCATAATTTGATGATTTAAGTTGCTATTCTTATAATTTTGGGTGTAGGTGACTAATAAACTTGTTGAGTATGTCTTCATCGACATCAGTGAGTGCGAATAAAGGTAGAAGATAAGATCCGACTTGGAAGTACACTTCTCTAGTTGAGGAAGGGAATTCCAACAAGCACAAGTGTATTTATTGTAATAAGATCACCAATGGCGGCATATCAAGGTAAAAAGAGCATCTTATTGGAACGACGAGGAAACGTAAAAATGTTTCCCTTTGCAATAAAGTTCCTTCGAATGTGGTTGATGAGCTTAAGGAATATGACAAAAAACAAGTAATTATTAGAAGACAACAAGCAGGGGAGAATTACATGCCGGATCTTGAAGATGATGACATGGTTGAAATAGATGAAGTTGACGAGGTTGAAGAACAAGCACAAGCAACTAGGAACAAGGGAAAGGGTGTATTGACTTCTACTCCTAATTCATCTTCCTTAGCTACAAGAGGAGGGGGAAGTGTTGGATCTTCAACAAAGAGAAAGAGGCCTATGGATTACATGTCGGATCTTGAAGATGATGACATGGTTGAAATAGATGAAGTTGACGAGGTTGAAGAACAAGCACAAGCAACTAGGAACAAGGGAAATGAGCAATTGACTTCTACTTCTAAATCATCTTCCTTATCTACAAGAGGAAGGGGAAGTGTGGGATCTTCAACAAAGAGGAAGGGGCCTATAGATTCATTTCTCTCATTTGACCCGGAACTGGATGTAGCCAAAGATGATAGAAGGCGAAAATTGCGGCAAACAAGCATTGAAGAAGGCCTCAACAAAGATGCAGTTGCTAAAGTGCATCAAGATATTGCCCGTTGGTGGTATCAAGCGGGAATTCCTTTTAATGTCGTACAACTTAGGTCCTTCAGAATTATGTTGAAGTCAGTGGGGGCTTTTGGGCCTAACTTGCCACCTCTAACATTCCATCAATTACGAGAGCCATTGCTTAAGAAGGAGAAGAAGTACACTGAAGATCTCATGCAACCTCATAAGGAGGTTTGGGCCAAAAAATGATGCTCTTTTATGTCGGATGGTTGCACTGATTGGAAGGAAAGGACTTTGATAAATTTCCTTGTGAACTCTCCTCACGGAATGGTATTTCTTTCCTCTATTGATGCTTCCGATGAGATCAAGACTGGTGCGAGGATGTTTGAGATCTTAAATGAGGAGATTAAGAAGATAGGGTCAGAGAATGTTGTGCAAATTGTGACGGATAATCATGCTAGTCTCAAATTAGCCGGTATGGAATTTTAAATTTGATTTAATTTTTTTGATATTGATTGATGTGCTTTCTAATTTCTTTAAAATTGAATGATTGAATACTAATGAGATGTTTGTTTATTGGTTCTAGGTAAATACTTGATGGATGAATATCCTCATATGTATTGGACACCGTGTGCTGCTCATTGTCTCAATCTCATACTTAAGGATATCGGAAAACTACCGTTCGTGAAGATGACCTTGAGTCGTGCTATGGAGTTGACGGGTTTCATTTATTCACATGGTTGGGCTTTGAGGTTGATGAGAGAGCAAATCAATGCTCGAGAGCTTCTTAGACCGGCGGTGACGTGGTTTGCCACTTCATTTTTGACTTTATCAAGCATCCATAAGCAGAAGAATAATCTAAGGAAGATGTTTTGCTCTGAAAAGTGGGTGGAAAGCAAGTGGGCAAGAGATCCAAAGGGCAAAGCGGCGGAGAGGACAGTTAAAATGACTAACTTTTGGAATAATGTTGTTCGTGTTCTCAAGCTCACGGGTCCTCTTGTTCGTGTTTTGAAGCTTGTTGATAACGAGAGGAAGCCGGCCATGGGGTTTATTTATGAGGCTATGGATAGAGCCAAAGAGGCTATTGCAAAAGCCTTTGGTGATGATGCAAGCAAATATTCGGAGGTATTTGAGATGATTGATAAGAGATGGAATGTTCAGTTACATCATCCTTTGCATGCTGCAGGGTTTTACCTTAATCCAATTTTTTTCTATGCCCACCCTAACATTCAAGCCGATAAGGAGATCATGAAAGGCCTCTGGGAAGTCATTCAAAAGCTTGTGCCACAACAGGATCAAGATAAAATTTCTCAAGAGTTGACTTTATAAAACTGGAGTACTTTTGAACAAGTATGTTTAATTTCATCTAATTGAATAAACGTATGCTTAAAGAATTAAGGATTTTGAGTACTAATTTGATTATTTAACTTTATATGTGTTGCAGATACACACCAAGAAGAGGAATAGGTTGGATCACAATAGGTTGCAGGATCTAGTATTTTGCAAATATAATCAAGCTTTGAAGGAAAGATTTGACTGCAAGGATATTGTTGATCCAATCAAGTTGACTGATATAGATGAAAGCAACGAGTGGTTGTTAGGTCAATTTGGAGAGGGCGACAATGCGGAAAATGACTTGGTGGATGAGGAGGATGACCTTAGATGGGGTGTTGTAGGTGAAGCAATGGGAGTTGAAGAAAATTGGGGACCAAATTTAAGGTCTACTGCTACTGCTAGGGTTCGAGGATCTTCAAGTGGTATTGCTTCGTCATCTAGGAGGAGGGAGCCGGACTCGGAGGATGAAGATGAGTTTAATGAAGAAGAGGAAACTGAGGATGAGGAGCCACTTCAGTTGGATGATGATGATGATGATGATGAGGATGACTAGAAACTTTGTTATTTTGCTACTTGCTTATTTTATTTCGTAGACTTTTGCTCGTGTTGGATATTATCTTACATTGTGATGTGTGGAAACATATGAACTTCTTTATGTTATGCATGCTAATTAAGACTTTTTCTTGATTTAGTAGGTGAAATTATATTTCTTAGTCTTTTTATGTGATAATTTATAAAAATGTTGCTTATATGCTTCTTTATCTTATGTTGGAAAATATTAGTTTGAGTTATGCGCCTCAATTAAGTGAGGCGCGCGCCTCGTTGTGCGCCTTGCGCATGGTGCGCGTAAGGGACCTTTGCGCCCCGCATTGCGCCTTGCGCCTCGATAACACTGGGTGTACGCTTAGGCGAACTAGACTGAGGCTTTTTAAAACAGTGCTAACAATATGATAATTGGTAACATATCATAGTAAAGAACATTAATCACCTAAAGAGCACTTATTATCAATCTAAAATTATAAAAAATAAACTGCAAAAGCATTAAATACTTTTGGCTAGAAATTGTAGCATATAGAACAATCTTGAGTAAGTTGAATCGGAAGTCAAGATCATACCTTGATGGGTTTAGAAATTGTAGCATATAGAACAATCTTGAGTAAGTTGAATCAGAAGTCAAAATCATACCTTGATGGGTTCAGAAGTCAGTGGGGGGTTTTGTGGGGACTTGCTTGATGACGACGAAGATGGCGAACAGGAGGAATTGATGAGGTGAGCAGGAGGAGATGATGAAGAAGAAGACGGAGGAAGAAGAGGATTTAGGTCTTCTTTGATTTGTAAAGGCGGAAGCAACGTGAGCAACAAAGGGTAGGGTAAGTTGTGATTTTTATTTATGAAAAGCAGGGTCCACCCACTTAAACTCAATTGCAACCATCAAGTTCCTTTAGAAAGCAATCCCAGCCCTTGATCTATTTGACCTACGCTCGGGAACGATATCAAGGTGCGTTACATAGCATAGACTATTGAGAAAATAGTATACGTTAATTTGTTTCTACGCCATTTTCCAGCGCCACATAGCGATGAGCCGGCGCTACGTTACGCTATGCACTATTTCGCACTATGTGGCGCCCTATTTTCTACTCTAGGGAGAATTTAGTACGCATGGTTCATAGATTAGCAATGCAGAAGATGTATTTAGAAGGAAATTATCAAAGGTGGAAAAATTAATTTTAATAAGCAGGAATAAAACAAAAATGTTCTGCTAGACATCACGTTCCAAAGAAATTATAAACCATAGTTATGTGCATGAGGCATGTGTTTGTGTTTATTCTTTCTCAATTGTTAGGTTAATAAGTTTTCATTACTTCATCTATGAGCTGTGAATGCATACTTCAGATATTAAGATAGAACTTTTATCCCAAAGAGTGGTGAAAAATTATTGTGCCCTGAACAAACATGAATATTAATCAATGACAAAGTTGAGGAATGTGGAAGTCGGCTGGCCTAACTTCAATATTTCCACACACATATAGTTTCAGATTTATCATCCTGAAAACTTAATATTCCATGCTCTAGACGTACGTTATGGATTCGTACATCCAATTGTCTGATCCTAACATATGTACATCAAAAGTACAATAGATATCATTACTAAAACTTCCAAGTGTACAATAGAAGTCGTACTCAAACACATTACAAAGCTTCTTTTGTAGAGACTAAAGACCATTGCATTATTAAAATATTAGCTAGAAGATTGTTTGTAGTTAACTATCTAATTCACCTCTTCAAACTCCATTGAACTTGATCTCCCAAACCACGCTAATTTGAAATGATATTTAGGTTTTTTCCCTTTTTTTCTTCTTTTCTTTCTCTTCTTTTTCCTGCCCTTTGCTTGCGACCCCTTGCTGTCTTTCCTTTTCCTTTTTTGTTGTAGCTATTGTTGCCTTGCTATCTCTTCCCTTTTTTATCTTTTTTCCCTTCTCTTGAAAGTTAGGAAACTTAAGGGTTGTTTGGTTGTTTTTGGTAAAGTTGTGTATTTATGACACAACTTGGAAAGTTGTTGTCCACCTCATCAATTTTGCTTTTATACTTTTCTTTGTTTGTTTTTGATTCCATTGGAATCATAAATTGCTTGTTTGGTTTGTAAATATAACTTTAATTGTTTGTTTGGAAAGTGTAAAAAGTGGTCCCTACTCAAATGATCATGTTGGTTGGAATTATTTTTTATTATTTTTTCCTGACTTCAATGTCAGCTTTCTCCTAAAATCATGTCTTTTTTTTATGAAATCACTTTACAAGCCACATCAGCATATGAAATCACTTTACACTATTTTCACAACTATAAACAAACAATTGAAAGTGATGAAAGCTGACATTGGGACCCACTTTTTTACACTTTCCATCCTTTTACATGGTAAAAACATACAACCAAACAGCCCCTTAATGAAGGGAGAATTCTCCATCTCCTACTTGCTAAGAGCCTGTGTCACCCCTTTTCTTTTTTCCATGTCACACCATATCTGTTATTTCCTTTTTTTTATTGAACACATGTTTAATAATGTTTACACAAAGCCATTTTGATTTTTCTATTTGTGCGTTATAATTTTTTTTACTCTTTGGGGTCTTTTCTAAACTCCTAGCCTAGAAGGCCCCACCAACTAAACCACCTATCTATTCGTTTTTCAGATTATTTTCTTTTTAAACCTGTTCCATATCATTTTCTCACATTCCTTAGCTATTAGTGCATTTATCACCACTTCCGCACAAATGTTCGACAATATGGTAGCTATCTGATCCTAATCTCTTGCTAAGCAGTAATGATAGTGTCTTGTACATGAACCGGAGAACGTGATGTCTAACCGTGTGCCTGTTGAAGAATGAGCTGGTGACTCATAGGCAGTGGCTTGGTTAAGGGAACCATTCATACTGAATCATCTAGATCCAATCAAATTGAATCATCTAGATCCAATCAAATTGAATCATCTAGATCCAATGTAGTTTAGAAATCATTTTTTAGAGAATGCTAATAAATTCCAAAATTCGTTTCGCCGTTGGCAAATGATCTAGTAACCGTTGATGTTTTCCAAAGAATTTTTCGTAGATTGTTATAACTTACACTTTTCCTTATTTGTATCGGGACTAACAAGAATGGTTGGGACAATAAACATCCATCTCATTCGTACCTTGGATAGCCATATAACCATCAAAAGTCATTCCAAATCTTTCAATAACTTCTTGGCTTTATGATAGTCATTAATCATAATACAAGGTGTAAAATGAAATAGCTCAATGAATTTTGCCTCCTCTTGTGCTACAACTTTGGCCCTGAGCTAATCTCATAAATTTGGTAGGAATGCTTTTTATAAGTACTTTTTAATAAAATTCCTCTCATCTTAGCTCCTCAACATCCTTCAAAGCTCATTATTTAGTTTTCCATCAAATATAAGCTCACCTTCTATTACGAATATTATGAATATGACATAAATAACTTTCTATTTATCCACTTAACTCTTTAAATCAACAGAAAGTTACTTATGTCATATTCAATAGGGAAGGTGAAGGTGAAAATTGGTGAGCAACTATAGAATGTGTCTTTGAAAAGGATGTTGAGGAGCTAAAATAGGAGTTCAAAAGGACATTTAATGAAAACGGCTTTTGTCTATTTATTCAAGATTAGAAGATGAAAATTTTGTGAGGATTACTTAAGGGAATAATATTGCAACATAAAATGAAGCGAAATTTATTGAATTATCTCATCACATTATTTTTAATGACTATATGCTAAGAAATTTTCTAAAGGGTTTGAGGCAAGGCATTAGGATTAGCATAGCTGCCAGCTTGTCGTAGAGTGATGTGATAATGGTGGAGGAAAAACTAGTATAGCTGAGAAGGATGTGAAGAAAATGATAAGGATTGAATAATAAAAAGAAATCTGAAGGTGAATTTTGAGGTAAGAGATTAGAATCAAGATAGCTAGTACATTGCTGAACATTAATGTGAAAGTAGTGGAGAAAACACTATTAGCTAAGGAGGAATGCGAGGAAAATGATGGGGAGCAAATTAGAAGAAACCTGAAGGTAAATTATGTGGTGGTTTAATTGGCGGCCTCGTAGGAGGCTAAGAGTGTTTGACAAACCCTTAAAATTGGGCCAGGAGTGAAGCTGGGTTAAGTTTGGTTTAGTTTTAGTTTTTTATTGGCAAAAACTGTGTTAACTCTAGCTTAGTTTTTTCTAAGCCAAAAAAGTGGCTTAAATAGGTTCTTTTGTTCATCCCTCTCCTAGATTTTAAAAAAAAAATAGTTTACCTCAAAAGTGAGCCAGGATCGGTCTTACAAAACCGGTCCTAAGATTTTGAAGGACTCAAAAGAGTTTTTGCCCCCATTGCGGGAGCCTCGATGGAGATGCAAGTGTCCAAAGTTTTGAGAGGAATCCTTTATCTTTTGTTCTCCTCTTCTTTCCTTTCCTTCTGTTTGCAACTCTTTGTTTTCCTTTTGTTTTTTTCAAAGCTATTGTTGCCCTTTTCCCATTGATGTTCTTTCCCCCCCTTTTCTTGCAAGTTAAGAAAAATTAATGAGGAGAGAACTCTCCACCCCATACTTTATGAGAGTACAAGTGACCCCTTTCTCCATGTCATGCCACCTTCACTATTTCCTTTTATAGCTAACACATGCGTAATACTTTTTACACAAAAAGCCCTCCTGATGTTTGTATATGCAAATTCTACTTTTTTTTAATATCATATGAAAGTTCATTGAATAAGCATAATTTTAAATCATTATATGAAATTGTCCTCTACAACATCTAATCCGTTGATGAGTTCTCAAAATCGAGAGTCGGGTAGCTCCCAGTGTCGACCGAATCTAGCTGCCGAGGCTCGAACTTCGGTTCAACACCCACATCTGCGTCCTTCAGATGATATTGGATGGGATTGTGCAATTTATCCAGAATGACCTAATAAGAATAAGATCAAGTGCACACTGTATGGACATGAAACCACTGGTGACATTTCCCGCCATAAAGAGCACTTAACTAGTAGCTGGGGGAATACAAAACCATG